TCTTCCAATACAGCATGATGTTGATATTAGTAAAGCTGATGGTCCCATTTAGAGTGCAAACAGACCATAAAGCAGGGGATGCTTTAGGGCGGGCTACCTTGTGAATTGACAGCTCATTCTCAGTGAGTCCGTCCAGCTCAACTGCACCAAACTTCAGATCAAACCTGTCAACAGTGGCTGATCAGATCTGGATCGCAGATTCTGTTTTGACTATTTCTCTCCCTCAAATCTGTTCAGCAACACATTTTCTGTTTATGCTGGAATACCAGATCCTGTTGAGAGCAGGAGAGGCAGGGCCAATGAGACAGTCAAACTCGGCTTTGCGTGACCACCTCCGCTGGCTCTGACTAACTGGAGGCTTTTGGATGGGGCTCAACAAAGTGATGGCTGAGCACAGATTCTGTTATTGATTATTGATTTTAAAAGAGGTGACAGATGTAGAGAGCCTGTATGTATTAGACAGGCTGTGGTGTTTGTCTGCGTGTCTTAGTGGCTGTGTTATGTACTGAGATATTCATACAGTCATACAGAGCGAATCCCAGATGGTACTGAGGGGGATTTACCGAGGTGTAAGCGGTCTGTTCCTTCTGCTGGTGGGAGATGGCAGAGTCCATGTGGATCAAGCCCAGGAAGTTCAGACACAGAGGAGGCGTTAAACGACAGAACAACCTGCAAGAGTGACACATCCTTCATCACATGTTCAGACTTTACTGGACGTCTGCTCCTCAATCACATTCTTGAATTCAGACAAAATAAAGTAAAATAAAAAGAGCATGATGGCAGAGAGACTCACATGCCGCTGAACTGGAGGCTGTAAGCATCAGTCTGGTGATGGGAGGCCAGGTAGTAGTAGTTGAAAACCCGGATGCGGAACACCGTGGAGTAAACGCAGGTACACAGGAAGAAGATTGTGATGAAGCACGCCATCTGGTGGACAGAAGTGTCATCACAAAGCAGTCAGATAAAGAGGTCAAAGAAAGAAAGGTCTTTTCTTAATTAGTGTTTGTACCTAATCTCTTCCTGTTTTCAGCTGATTAAACACTAATGAAAACATACCTATAGATATTATATTCTACTTCTGACAACAGAGCCTCCTCAGTGTTACAGGCTGCTCTTTAGCTGCTATGTTAACACCACTGTTCAGCCATTACACAGTATTGTTTCTGTACTGTGTTGACTGTAACTACATTTACTCCGTGGTTCTTCTGTTTGTTCCTGAATTTATCAAAAAGGTTCTTGTCGCCTGACAGAGTTTGCTGATGTGTTCTGTATTTGTTTCTCTCTCTCTCTTTGTGTGGCCTTTCACGGGAGACATGTGAAGCTGTTTAAAGTCCTCCTGGATCCACATCAGGGTTCCCGCTCTCCACTATCAGTGTTAGTATTGACACATTTAACTCCAGTTTTATTGCTGCTTCTTTAATGATGCAGGTTCATGAAGTGTCTCAGGTTCATTACAGATAGGTGGTCAGTGTTTATGGGACACTCGCTGGGGAGTTTGTCCTTACCCAGATCCAGGCTAAGGTCAGAGGATGCTGTATGTTGTTCAGAAGGTAAAGCCCCTGAGGCAAATTGGAATTTGGGGCAATATTAATGAGATTTGACTTGACACTGACTAATAGACTGATAACTAAAATCTGCCACTGTCTGTGCTAGGTAGTTCAGTCCACAGTGTATGGGCTG